GATTGTCCCCCCCTCTGCCTCTCCTCCATCCCCTCCCCTCCCCCCACCTTACAGCCTCGACAGACAGCTCGGGGCAAGTGCTGTTAGCGAGCAGCACACTCCGATTGGCGCGGTTGGTCACGTGCCGTGCGAAAGAAGTTCAACGTGCGCACGTGAAGGTCGCGACGGCGCACAGAGTGGGTGGGTGGGTGGCCAGCACCACCCCCGACCGCCTTCGTCTCCCCCAGTGGCGAGGTTTACACGCGTCACCGAGTACTCGTTTGAGGCTGAGTCGACCTAGAGGAGGCACAGTACCGGATCAAATACTCGTCACTGCTGTTGGCCGTGAGCTGGAATCGAACTCGGGTGGCCGGGTTCGTAGCCACCGCTGCCGACCAACAACAACAACAGCAGCAGCAGCCACCATTCGCCACTGGGTATCGGTCACCACGGCGATTGTACCAGGCTAGGTGTACTCCGAGGCAATCGCGTGGATGTTGTAAGGCTCTCTCACTGCTGAGGAGGTCACGGGACAGACCCAGGTGTGTGTGTGTTGGACTTCTTTGGCACCGTACGTAGGCAACCGTGCTAAGAGGAGGTGGCTCGAGATGGTTGGCAGATGCGCCACCTGTGCCCCCCCCCCCCACTGCCAATGAGCTCACATTCTGTCACGCTCGCTCACTCGCACACTCAATCACTCCCTCCGTCACCCACCCACCCACCCACTCACCCACCCACCCACCCACTCACCCACTCTCACCCACTCACCCACTCTCACCCCAAAGGCAACGCTGCCGGGAGGAGGTCACGGGACAGACCCAGGTGTTATCGGTTGACTGGCTGAGATGATTGGCAGATGTGCCACCTGTGCCCTCCCCCCCCATTGTGCCAACTCACTCACACGCGGTTACACTCACTCGCTCGCACACTCAATCACTCACCCACCCACCCACTCACTCACCCACTCACTCTCTCCCCCACCCACTCACTCGCTCGCACACTCAATCACTCACCCACTCACACTCTCACCCACCCACGCTCTCACCTACTCACTCTCTCACCCACCCACTCACTCACCCACTCACTCACTCTCTCACCTACTCACTCTCTCACCCACCCACTCACCCTCTCACCTACTCACTCTCTCACCCACCCACTCACTTTCTCACCTACTCACTCTCTCACCCACCCACTCATTCACTTTCTCACCTACTCACTCTCTCACCCACCCACTCACTCATTCACTCTCTCACCCACCCACTCACTCACCTACTCACTCTCTCACCCACCCACGCACTCTCTCACCTACTCACTCTCTCACCCACCCACTCACTCACCTACTCACTCTCTCACCCACCCACGCACTCTCTCACCTACTCACCCTCTCACCCACCCACTCACTCACCCACTCACTCTCTCACCCACCCACTCACTCTCTCACCTACTCACTCTCTCACGCACCCACTCACACTCTCACCCACCCACTCACTCTCTCATCTACTCACTCACCCACCCACCCACTCACTCTCTCACCCACACATTCACGCTCTCACCCACTCACTCACTCCCCCACTCACTCTCTCACCCACTCACTCACCCACCCACTCACTCACCCACTCACTCTCTCACCCACCCACTCACCCACCCACTCACCCACCCACTCACTCTCTCACCAACTCACTCATTCACTCACCCACTCACTCTCTCACCCACTCACTCACTCACCGACTCACTCTCTCACCCACTCACTGTCACTCAAAGGGTCGTTATCAGGAGGTCAAGGGACAGACCCAGGTGTTATGAGTTGGCATGGCGGAGATGACTCGATATGCACCTCCGATGAGCATGGTTGGCTACGTACGGTACGAAAGAAGTTCAAAATACATACCTATGCGTGTAACAAACACACTATGATCCACACACTACACCCACACAGTCGACACCCACACACACTCTACACACACACACTACACACACACACGACAACAACCGCCATTCGCCACTAAGTGGCGGTGACGTCACCACGACGCTTGTGCCAGGCCATGTGCACCTTGAGGCCACGTGAAGTGTCGAACGCCCGCTGGCAGGAGGTCACGGGGCAGACCCAGGTGCCACGGGTCGACTGACTGAGATGACCGAGATGACTGGCTGATGCACCACCTGTGCCCCCTACTGTGCCAACTTGCTGTGCTTTAGCCACCCGGCGCTCCGCTCGTTGTTGTGAGCGTCACACACAAACTCTACACACACACACTCTACACCCACATAATCCACACACACCCTCTACACACACCCTCTACACACACCTTACACACACACTCTACACACACTACACCTACACACTCCACACACACATTCTACACACCACACACACACCACACACACACTACATACACACACACTCTACACACACTACACCTACACACTCCACACACACACTACACACACACACTCTACACACACAAACACACACCACACACACACTACACACACTACACAAACACACACTCTACACACACATACTCCACACACACACACTACACACACACCATCTACACACACTACACACACACACACTCTATACACACACTACACACACACACTACACACACACCCTCTACACCCACTACACACACACTCTACACACACACTCAACACACACTACACCCACACACTCTACACACACTCTATACACACACACACTACACACACACCCTCTACACCCACTACACACACACACTCTATACACACTCAACACACACTACACCCACACACTCTACACACACACACTCTACACACACACTACACACACACTACACACACACCCTCTACACCCACTACACACACACACTACACACACACTCTACACACACTCAACACACACTACACCCACACACTCTACACACACACACACACTCTATACACACACTGCACACACGCCCTCTACGCCCACTACACACACACTACACCCACACACTCTACACACACTATATACACACTCTACACACACATTACACACACTTTATACACACTCTACACGCAGTCTACACTCACACACACTCTACACGCAGTCTACACTCACACACACTCTACACGCAGTCTACACTCACACACACTCTACACACACTACATCCACACACTATATACACACTACATCCACATACTCTACACTCACACTCTACACACACACACGTGGTGACGGTGCACACACACACACGTGGTGACGGTGCACACACACACACACGTGCACACACCGCAGCAGATGAAGCCACAATTAGAGGTCGTTGGGATTGTGAGCCAGGCCACGGGGTCAGAGGGCAAGGGGCAGAGGGCAGGCTGCGTGTGGGGGTGGAGGTGTTGGGGTCTTCTTGGGGCTCACGGGACAAGGGGGCAGAGTGGGCTAGGGGGCTGAAGGGGGTTGTACGGGTGCGGGTGTGTGGGAGTAGATTAATTAATTAGTTCAGAATCTGTCGATTGGAGAAGGACCTCACTCCATGCTGAGCTGTCAACCCCTTATCAGTGCTGCCCATCTTATAACAGACCAATTCAGACCTTATTGGTCACCCCGTGCCCCTTTATAAATCTCAACGTTCATCCTACAAGTCCCATCGCAAGGTGAGAAACACAAACAGACAAAAATGATGTTACTCAACACAAACTCTTTGATGTATTATTTTTGATAATTGGTGTCAATGGTTCTACTTATCATGCTACTGTCTGTGGTCTTGCATGCTGCTGCTTGCTTGATATGTGGATGCTCACACTCACAAACCTGTCAACCCCTTATCAGTGCTGCCTATCTTATTACAGACCAATTCAGACCCTATTGGTCATCCCGTGCCCCTTTATAAATCTCAACGTTCATCCTATAAAGTCGCTATCGCAAGGTGAGAAACACACGTGTGTGTGTGTCGTCACCACGTGTGTCTCGTCACCACGTGTGTGTCACCACGTGTGTGTGTCGTCACCACGTGTGTGTCGTCACGTGTGTGTCACCACGTGTGTGTGTCGTCGTCACGTGTGTCTCGTCACCACGTGTGTGTCACCACGTGTGTCCTCACCGCGTGTGTGTGTGTGTCACCACGTGTGTGTGTGTCCGTATTGAAATGGCTGTACGCCTCATGGGCCTCGATAAGTGCATTGCCCTGAACAAGGAGTACGGGGGGGGGGGGTGAGGAGGCCCTGTGGGTTGACACGGCCCGGGGCTGTACGTCGACCTTCTTTCGCACCGTACGTAGCCGACCGTGCCAATGTCGCGCTCACGCTACGACGTCTCCGTTCGCCGAGGCGACTTCGTGAGTGCCCTGAAGTGAAGTGTCGTGTCAAGACCGTGACGACCCCGTGAGACGTGTCAATGTCCATACTTCACCACGGGGCGAGGTGCGCTAACTACAGCGCCACCGCTCCCCCCTCCCCCGCCCGCCTTTAAACGATCACTGTCATCAAATATAATTAGCGATAAGATAATGATTATAACCGGTTTGATTAATACGGAATAAATGCGATATATGTAGTTAATTTTAGTAGCGTATTGATCACGCGGTGTAAATGTTTCATGGCGTTACGGCGATTGGAATAGCACTTAAATCTGCAACAATAATCGCAACGTTCTGCAATAATATTCATTAAAGTTTAGGTGAGAACAGGGGGTTCGTTTTAAAATATAAAAAACCAGACTTCCTCATAACGCGGATGTGATTATTACAAGTGTAGGTTATTAATTGATTGCTATAAGAGTAATTACCAGTTTTGACAATAACATTATTACGGCTGTAGCTGTAATTAATGAACTCTGTTAGTGATATTGACGTTGACGTGTCCATGGCAACGGAGGTAACGAACGCGGTGCACGTGACCACAGCCCCCCCCCACAAAACCCCCTCCCCCTTCTACGGCACTACTTCGCTAAAGCGGACGCGCACATCGAACCCGCGGCGGTGCGCCGCCTGCCTCGTCGGCGGCGGAGGAACACACAGTCGGTGGGGGGGGTTGGGGGGGGGGAAGTGGGCAGGGGGGGTGGGGGCCTGTACGCGAACGAGGGGAGGGAGTAACGGGGGTAGAGGGGAGGGAGTAACGGGGGTAGAGGGGAGGGAGTAACGGGGGGCGGGGCGATCGGGTTAAAGGGGGCGGGGCCGGTGTTCCTCCGCGCGGCGCGGGCCCCTTCACCGCCTCCGTCCGCGCGCGTCTCCCTCCGCTGACCCCGCGGACCTCGATCCTCCCGCCGCCGCTCCCGAGGCCGCGTCTCTCCTCCACAGGCCCCCGACCGTCAGGCCGCACCCGCCGGGTCCCCTCGGACCCCCCCGCAGGGTCCTGTCGGCTCCCCGAAGAGAAGGGAAGAGGAGGAGAGGGGTGGGGGGGGGTTCCTCTCAGCGAGGTTCCCCTAGCGGGTCCCCTCTCTCTCTCTCGCCACCCCTCCTCCTCCCTCGTAGCCCGGCGCGCTCTGTGTGTGCGAGCGAGCGGCTCGGCCGTTGTGTGGCCGCCGTACGGACACGAGGAGAGAGGTGGTGGACGTGGGGGGAGAGAGGACGAGGCGGAGGTGAAGGAGATCAAAGAGGCGGTGGCGGCGGCGGTGTTTGACGAGGATATCGCGAGACGACGGCGAGGAGGTTGGTGACGGTGACGGAGGAGAAAGGGGAGCGAGGAGGGGAGGAGGAGTCGAGACGACGAGGTGCTGGGGAGAGGAAGGCGACGAGGACGAAGAGGAGGAGGAGGAGCGTCATCCCGGCCGGAGTTTGACGAGAAAATGGAGGCGGCCGAGGCAGCAGGAGGAGGAGGACGAGGAGCGGCATCGGCAGCAGCAGCAGCTGGACCCGCCGCCGCCGCCGTGCGGGCCGCTCGCTCCCCGCGCCGCTGAATGGAGCCCGCGTCCACAAAGCGGCCTTAGCAGCAAGGGCACGGGGCCCCCTCCACACACTCACTCCCCTCGTCGTCGCCATCGCCGTCATTATCCTCGTCAGCAGCAGACTGAGCAGGATCGGCGGCTTCAGCTTCGTCTTCACCAGAATCATCAGCGGCGGCAGCACGGAGCTGCTGGTGACGGTGTTTGTTGCTATCTTCGCGTTATTCTTGTGGTTGTTGTTGTTTGTCGGGTTTGTTTTGAGGATTGCCATTCTTGCCTCCTGGATCCGAGCTGGATTTTAGTTTAATGTTCGCTGCAACTACTCTCATCATCATTAGCATCATCACTCGTGCTAACAAAGAGGTAGATAGATAGGGGGGCACGCCGTGGCATGGTGAGGACGTCGTCGTCGACGACGATGATGGTGGTGATGGTGCTCATGATGAAGATGATGGCGTGGAGGAGCCGCGGTCGGTCCCACAGCTGAGCATTGGCGTCAGCAGTAGGAACCCGCGCACCCTCCGTTTGGGGGGCACTTTCTATCACTCTGCCCCCCCCCCACCAAGCTCACACGAGGACCTTTACCTTCAACCTACGCGCGTCGTAGCCACCGGCACGAACCACCAACTCCTTCATTTTTCAACAACCGCGGCCAATCGTCACATCTGGCCGAGGCCACACGGATTGCGACTCAAGGGCCCAGCGACCACCAAACCGACCATGGACGGCCACAGGGCCAACGGGCCCCGTCGCAGCCGTCGGACTCGCTCACAGAGGGACAAGCAGAGGGAGGCGGCCGGACGCGCCGGCCGGCCGGGGCTGACCATCGGCGGCGGCGGCCTGCAGGCCCTGGGCCGGCCCGGCGGCCTGGTGGCGGGCCTCGTGGCCGGAGGCGTGGGCCGCCACCACCGCGCTCCCAGCTCGGGCTCTGAGAGGGAGAACGCGGAGAACCGGCCGGGCTCGTCGAGGCCGCGGCCGCCGCGGCGCCGCCGCCGGGACTCGGTGAGCTCCCAGGACGAGGATATAATCGACGGCTTCGCCATCGCCAGCTTCACCACCCTGCAGGCGCTCGAGGTGAGGGCCGCCGCGCCACGCGTCTTGTCCGTCCGGGTGACCCCGAGGAGGGCTTCGTCTTGTCTGTCTGTCCGTCCGGGTGACCCCAAGGAGGGCTTCGTCTTGTCTGTCTGTCCGTCGGGGTGACCCCAAGGAGGGCTTCGTCTTGTCTGTCTGTCCGTCGGGGTGACCCCAAGGAGGGCTTCGTCTTGTCTGTCCGTCCGTCGGGGTGACCCCAAGGAGAGCTTCGTCTTGTCTCTTCGTCTTGTCTGTCTGTCCGTCTCGACGGATGGGACTTTGTCGTTCACGTGACCGATGGGACGGTCCGTCTCTCTGTCTATCTGGATGGATGGCATAGGGGTTTATTGCCCACGTGACCCAGAATCTGTCGCTCTGGATGGGACGGGGTCTGTCCTGGTGACCCAGAGTCTGTCTCTCTGTATATCTGGATGGATGGGACAAGGTTTATTGCCCACGTGACCCAGAATCTGTCGCTCTGGATGGGACGGGGTCTGTCCTGGTGACCCAGAGTCTGTCTCTGTCTATCTGGATGGATGGGACAGGGTTTATTGCCCACGTGACCCAAAGTTTGTCTCTGTCTATCTGGTTGGATGGGACAAGGTTTATTGCCCACGTGACCCAGAGTCCGTCGCTCTGGATGGGAAAATGTCTGTCCTGGTGACCCAGAGTTTGTCTCTCTGTCTATCTGGATGGATGGCACAGGGTTTATTGCCCACGTGACCCAGAGTCTGCCTCTCTGGATGGGACGGGGTCTGTCCTGGTGACCCAGGCACCGTCTCTGTCTATCTGGATGGATGGGACAAGGGGTTATTGCCCACGTGACCCATAGTCCGTCTCTCTGGATGGGACGGGGTCTGTCCACGTCACCATCTGTCTGTGTGGTTCAATGTGCCTCCTCACTCTGGCTGGCTGGACCTTCGTCGTGTCCCTCAGTGCTATTGCGTGACTTGTTGTTGGCTGTCTGTAGTTTTACCTTCACCCCTCCATCTCGCTAGCCTGTGTCCTTCGATCCACTTTCTATTTTGTCTGGCTGACTTTCTAGCTGTCTATCGGTACGTTACCTCCTTATCAATTGTCGCTTGTGTGGCTGGCTCTGTCTCTCTGTCACTCCTGGCTGTCTTGTCTGTCTGGTTGGTTGTCTTATCTGTCTGTACATCTTCGATGTGTCTGACGAGCTTCATGTCCCTCTGTTCCTCTATTCCCATGGTCTGGTTTACTTGACAGCCGTCTATCTGCGCCATTCCTCCAATGTGTCTGCCAGGCCCTCTCCATCCTGGCAGTCTATTCGTCTCACTTGCCAGCTGTCCCTCTGGATGGTTGATTTGCAGGCTCTGTGCATCTCAATGTGTCTGCCGGTCTCCACGATTTCCTTCCGTCAGTCCTCCTGTCTCTCTCGTCTGTTCATCTGTCAGACCCTCTGACTGTTTTGTCGGATGTCTATCTGTACGTCTGCCCCTCCTGTCTAAATGTTGATCTATTAATCTGTCACCTATATCTGGGTGGTTGTACCTATGCCTATTTGCCTTTCATTCTGTCTGTCCCGTTGTCCCTCTATGATTCGGTCTTGCACCCTGGCCATCTTTGTCGTCTTCTCTGGCTGTCTTGTCAGTCTATCTGTGTGTCTACCCATTGTTAGTATGCTGTATGTCCTGGCTGCCCCCCTGTCTATGTGAGACTGCCCCTCTCGCCCCGTGTCTGTCTCTCTCCTCTTCGTCCCTCTGTGTCTGTGCATCTTTGTTCGTGTGTCTGTCAGCAACTGTCTCTGTCCGTGCATGTGTCCCCCTGTCCTCTGTTTCACGTCCACTCTGCCCCTGTGTGTGCCATGCGTCTGTGCCACATTGCTCGCTCTCGTGCTATCACCACCTCCACGTCTGTCTATGTGCCCCCCCGCTATTTTTTCATGCGTCTCACCCTCCCTACTTGTCCCTCGGACTGGCCGTGTCTCTGCCCCTCTGACCGGCTGTGTGTCTTGTCTGTCATTAGTCCTCACTGTCGCTCTGTGGCTCTGTTCGTTTGTGTCTCTCGTGGCCTCTGACGACGTCAGGACCCTCTGTCCATGTCTATCTGACTGCTGTTGTATCTGACTGACTGTCTCTGTGTGAGAGTTTGTATTCACGTGTCGTCATGCTGTCCCCTTCTGCGTCTGCCTGTCTGGGTGTCTACCTGTCTGGGTGTCTACCTGTCTGGGTGTCTGTCTGTGTGTGTGTCTGTCTGTCTGGGTGTCTGTCTGTCTGGGTGTCTGCTCCTCTGTCTCTTCCTCTGTGGGCCATCTAACTGGCCTCTCTGCCCGTCAATCCCTCTGCCACTTGTCTGTCAGGCCTCCTATCTGTTGCCGTATCTGTTCGTCTGTGCCAATCTCAGACTCTGCGTGTCTGTCCATCTGTTCACTTGTCCCCCTATCTCTCTCTACGTCTGACTATTTGTCTGCTCTGTCTGTCCCGCTATGTGCTCGAGTTAAACCCAGAGATGCCTGCCGTGGAAGTGGACGTATCGGTGTCTGTGTGTGTATAGACCCTCTCTCTCGCTGTGGCCGTGTCTGTTTCCCGTCTCTCAGTGTCTCTCCTGATGTCTGTCCTTGTATGTCTCTGCCTGTGGACTCTGTCCCCCATGCCATGTGTCCCTGTGTATGTCGCTCCCGTTCTTCTGGTGCCTGTGTGTTTTCCTGGTCCCTCTGAAATGTCCGTGTCTCCGTGCGTCTCCCGCTCTGTCCCTGGTCTGTCTGTGTCTCTCGTTTCTCTCCTTCGCCACGCCTTGCGTGTTTCTCTCTCGCCTTGCGTGTCTCTCTCTCTCTCCTTGTGTGTCTCTCTCTCATCTCTCTTGCCCCCGTCTTGTCTCCACGTGGCGGTCTGTTCCTGCTGTGTCTATCTGCGATCTTGGACAACGTGTTACCGTGCGCCTTGGGGCCATTATGTACCCGCATGATATAATAATAGTCCGTCGCGAACCCAATCGGTTCATGCCGTATATGTGTCACGTTCGACTCCTAAGTTCCGACGGGAAAAGCTGTCTCCATGGGAGAGAAGATAGTCCGGTTGTGTGTGTGCTTTGTCGGCTTTAATAGGCGCTCGCTAACAGCGTTTGCCCCAAGCCTATTGCAGGCTGCAACACAAGGGATCTGTGTGTTTGGGGTGCGTGTGTTGTGTGTGTGTGTGGTGTACGTGTATCTGTGGGTGTGTCCGTGTGTATCTGTGTGTGTGTGTGCATGTGTCTGTACGTGTGTGTGGTGTACGTGTATCTGTGCGTGTGTGTGTGGGGTGTACGTGTGTTTGTGTGGTGTACGTGTATCTGTGTATCTGTGCGTGTGTATCTGTGTGTGGTGTGTGTTGTGTGTGTGTTGTGTGTGTGTTGGGGAGCGGTAGTGTAGCGGTTAGCGCGCTGCGACCCGGGTTCAATTCCCGCTCACGGCCAACACCGGTGGCGACTATCTGAACCGGTTGGTCGCCTCGGCCTCAAATCAGCACCCGGTTCGGTGTGTAAACATCGCCACTGGGGAGACAAAGGCGGCCGGGCGTGGTTCTGGCCACCCACCCCCTCGTGTGCCGTGCCGGCCTTCATAGGTGCTGCTTAACTAACAGCACTTGCCCCAACAGTCTTAAAGGCTATACGGGGGATCTTTGTCTGCGTGTGTGTCCGTGCGTGCGAGTGTGTACTGAGAGTGTGTACTTGTGTTTGGAATGTTGGTGCGTGTGTGCCGAGTGGGGGTGTGTGAGTGTAATGTGCGTGTGAGTGTAATGAGTGGGGTGTGTGTGAGTGTAATGTGTGTGTGTGTGTAATGTGTGAGTGTAATGAGTGGGGTGAGTGTAATGTGTGTGTGAGTGTAATGAGTGGGGTGAGTGTAATGTGTGTGTGAGTGTAATGAGTGGGGTGAGTGTAATGAGTGGGGTGTGTGAGTGTAATGTGTGTGTGTGCGTGTGAGTGTAATGAGTGGGGTGTGTGTGAATGTAATGTGTGTGTGCGTGTAATGAGTGGGGTGTGTGTGAATGTAATGTGTGTGTGCGTGTGAGTGTAATGAGTGGGGTGCGTGTGAGTGTAATGAGTGGGGTGTGTGTGAATGTAATGTGTGCGTGTGAGTGTAATGAGTGGGGTGTGTGAGTGTAATGTGTGCGTGTGAGTGTAATGAGTGGGGTGTGTGTGAGTGTAATGTGTGTGTGTGAGTGTAATGAGTGGGGTGTGTGTGAGTGTAATGTGTGTGTGTGCGTGTGAGTGTAATGAGTGGGGTGTGTGTGAATGTAATGTGTGTGTGCGTGTGAGTGTAATGAGTGGGGTGTGTGTGAATGTAATGTGTGTGTGCGTGTGAGTGTAATGAGTGGGGTGTGTGTGAATGTAATGTGTGTGTGCGTGTGAGTGTAATGAGTGGGGTGTGTGTGAATGTAATGTGTGTGTGCGTGTGAGTGTAATGAGTGGGGTGTGTGTGAGTGTAATGTGTGTGTGTGCGTGTGAGTGTAATGAGTGGGGTGTGTGTGAGTGTAATGTGTGTGTGTGTGCGTGTGTGAGAGTGTAATGAGTGGGGTGTGTGTGAGTGTAATGTGTGTGTGTGTGCGTGTGTGAGAGTGTAATGAGTGGGGTGTGTGTGAGTGTAATGTGTGTGTGTGTGCGTGTGTGAGAGTGTAATGAGTGGGGTGAGTGTAATGTGTGTGTGTGCGTGTGTGAGAGTGTAATGAGTGGGGGTGTGTGTGTGTAATGAGTGTGAGTGTAATGTGTGTAATGAGTGGTGTGTGTGTGTTTCGATTGTTGGTCCGTGTGTGCCGAGTGGGGGTGTGAGTGAGTGGGGAGTGTGTGAGTTCAATGCGCGTGTGTGTGTGTTCAATGCGTGTGTGTAATGAGTGGGGTGTGTGAGTGTAATGAGTGGGGTGTGTGAGTGTAATGTGTGTGTGTGCGTGTGAGTGTAATGAGTGGGGTGTGTGTGAATGTAATGTGTGTGTGCGTGTGAGTGTAATGAGTGGGGTGTGTGTGAATGTAATGTGTGTGTGCGTGTGAGTGTAATGAGTGGGGTGTGTGTG